GTGTTAAGACAAGAGAAGAGTCCAAACCTGAGAGTTTTCTTTGTTCAGGTAAACAAGTCTGCAACCATCTCTGCTCTGCTTTTAATATGGAAATAGAGTGGCATTTTGCTGATTCTGTAACTGAAATGATGTAAAAGCTTCTTTCTTTCATTTATTCTTCTATTTGTTGAATCTCTTTTCATCTGGCAGGTGGACTGTGGGTCGGAAAACAACTATAATAGCTCTGCCTTTTATCTCTGAGTCAAAAATAAAGCATAAAAAAGGGGAACAAGCAGCGAGGCAGAAAAAACAGACAATCCTAAGCTCTTGCAAAAGTCTCAAAAGTAGCAAGATGACTAGTTAGTGTGATAACGAATAACTTTATGGAAATGTAAACTGGTGCAGAAAATTGAGCTTACATAAGTCTTCTGCTGGAACCCATTTATGGTTATTCACATTAAAACATATTTAAAATTATCTTAAAATTATTTAAAGACTTGAATCTAAAAAGATTCAAGTCTTCAGAAAAAATCGATCCTTCCAGACTTACAGATTTAAATGAATATGTTTCTGTTTTTTTTTTTTTTTTATTATTATTTATTTCCATTGGGATGTGATGTGTTGCTTCATGAGTTCCTACTTCATGTTGGTTGACAGATTCTATTTAAATATTTTTATTATTCTACAGGTCTGGCAGTAATCAAACCTGAGTTTGACTTTTAAAATCCAACCAGAAAACATGACTATTCAGACATTATCAATAATTTCATAAAGGGGGAAAAATAAAATGTACACATAACTCCCAGGTTGTTTGGGTCACGTTTATCCTTCATTAAGAAATTATAGACTATTTGAAAACTGTTTATGGAATTTAGTGGCGTTTTAGAGATCATTTGACTACAGATAAAGTTATCTAATTAAGTAATATTTAGAATATTTCAGCCGTTTAATTCCCGTTTCTTTGCTCATTAATCGGTCGTGTTGCATCAGGCTGTTGATTTGACTGAGGTCAAATCAACAGCCTGATTTGACTGTTCAAATCAGTTTGCTGAGCTCTGCATTTCTGCTTTACTAATGGCAATAAAATAAGGCAGATGGTTGTTCTTTTAGTACCATCATTCCTAAATTTAGACTTTTTAAAGCTCCTAAAAGAACTCACAATTTCAATATTTGTACATAAAGGTCAACTTTTATATTTTATTTAAATTTCTTTGAGAATAACACCTTATTTTTTTTTTTTTTTTTGATTATTTAACATTTGCTTTCCAACTATAGTTAAGCAATTTATGAACGTACCTTTCTAACGTGGCTGGTAGCTTTCCATTTAGCTGTAGCACCACCCTGTGGTTATTTAAAGTACTGCAGAAGGCATGATCAAATCAGAATTCAAGAAAATTAAAGTTTTCTACAATATATATATGTATACATATTTATAATCGTCACCATAAATCTTAAATCTATGGTATCTATCTTAAATCTTAAAAAAAGATTTAAGTTTTTATTTATGCACTAAAAGCTCAATCTGTAGGATATTAACAGGCTTAAATCAGAAGCCTGTAAATATGCATATTCCAAACTGATGTAATACATGAAAAACTTGGACTATGTCTCTATGTTGCAAGGCTTTAACAGAACATTGCAGTTCTCGGTGGGATCATACTGAGATAAATATCACTTTAGATACATTTACAGAATGGAAAATCTGTCTTTTGCATTTAAAGTCCTGAGACTTTACTGAGACGCACCGCTTTGGGATCAGAACAGATGGTTTAGACATCACTGCTAAATGAACTAAAGAAAAATGAAACATTAACTCTGTTTGTTCATAAGGGAGGAAAACGTCTCACCTGCAAGATTATGTGAATCAAAGGTTGTTGAGTATGATTGATCCAAACATTTTCCAAGTAAAGAGCAATTATGTTTTCAAAGAACATCTTAATTGTGGCCAAAACCAAGATGAAAAGACATTAGTGCAATCCACCAGGACCAGAAAATTCTGAGAAACATGATGCAGGCTGTGATTCCCTGGATAAGTTTTAGAAAAAGAAACCAATCAGTTTCTCAGGAAGAGTCTCTGCCTGGTATCTCCATGAAAATAAAATGTTCTTATGAGACAGAAGAATATGCAGAACATTTTATCACACAAAAACATATTTTAAAGGCAGATACCCTGCTAACAAATTTCAGAAGATGTATTTTGGTGAACACATTTTGGGTAACAGGGGCCTATCCCATAATGTCTGACACTCTCTAGAGTAGTTTCAGATTTAAAACAGAATTTAAAAAAATAATCAACAACAAAGAAACGTGTGAATTTGAATGACTGAAACAAAACTGACATTTTTAAAACTGAACTACAAGATAATGGAAATCAAAATCTTTCACTAAATCTGAAAAACGGGGAATAAATTCAGTGTTTTGTTTTTACCAATAATTTTTTTTCACTTAAAGGTGACGTACGATGCTTCCTTGAACAACGTAGCATTTACACTCCCATATGAAAATGACTCCAAACAGACGTGCAGTTACACAACTGTCCATCCTTGTCTTTTCCAGCAGCCATTGTACAGCAGTAAAACTAGCTAAATGTGCTGGAGCTTAGCTTGGGTTGCTAGGTGACAGCCGCAGTTCCATTGGGGTTGCTAGGCAACAGGCAGTGCCTGTTGATTTGTGAAACGGTTCATTTTCCAGATTCATTTTCCATATATCAAAAAACATCAACTTACTGCCAAAAACTGCATGGGTGTTTAAAAAAAACAACAAACAAACAATACAAAACAAAAAAATGCTCGAGCATTTAAAAGCAGTAAAGACCCAAATTTAAGCTTAAAAAAGTGCAGAGTGATTTAATACTTTTAGAATCATTTAAATTGAAAACATTTCTAACATTTAGTAGCAAACAAGTTGAATAGACACAGCACTTCAACAATGTCTCAGATAAATATATATTTTGGCTCCAGATGGGAACAGAGATGTTGGCTCCTGTTATTAGCACGCTAAGCTAATTACACAGTAGCAGGCATCTACACAGCCTAAATACACAGAGGTGACACGATAGCTTGGTAATTGTAAGTCCTTCAGCTTCTTCCTGTTTTTTCTGTGTTGATAAGCAGTCTGCCTTGGAAACGTGAACAGCAAACACCTGCAGCAGCAGCACAAACTCCTAATTAGCTATTATTTAAGAAATGCAGCCAGTTACAATCTCCTAATCACGTCTTTTTGGTGTTTTGGGAAGCAGGTTAGGGAGATGTGTGTTTTTTTGTTGTTATTTAAATATTTATACATGTAATATTTCTTTAATGGCTCCTTGCAAGCAGCAGCAGAGGTGTGGAGGCGAACGCGGTGGCTTACATAACAGTCATAATGTTGCATTAGGAGCTGGAGACGGTGAGGAAGAACATGGAATAACCACATCTGGTCTGCTTTATAAACCTCAGCAACAAGGACTGTGTTGATTAAACAGATTTCTCAAAAGTTCAGACTGGGCTTCGTGTAGCTTAAAAAGTTTCTGAGCACTTTAAAAATTCCCCTGAAGGAACATTTTCTCCTCTTCGTCAACGTGTTTCACTTTCTGCTTTATTATTCCTCATTAAAAATGCATCAGTTGGTGTAAACAAAGTGCCTGCAGCGGCAATCTGAAAACACAGTGTGCTGAGAAATCGTTTTCAGTTGGAGATGTGTGTTTTTTTTAATTAATAAAAATAATAAATAAATAAATAAAATAAGAAGCAAGAGCAATATCTTTAAAGTTTGGATTACAATTTTGAAACTAGGCAATGCAAAGGGAGGATTCTGCAGAAAAATGAGATAAACAGACCAGAAATACTTATTTTAGCTGTATGTAGTAGTGACGCACAATATATTGGCACTGACATCGGTATTGGCTGATGTTAGTCATTTTTTTAAGATATCAGTATCTTTCCAATAATTAAATTTGTGCCAATATTGTTTGAGTGAAACAATGAAGCAATTTATTCTCTTTTTTTTTTACACCAAGCTGACTTTATATCCCTTTTTGAATCCACTGGAGCTCTGCAGCCTGGACTGTTGCAGCTGTTAGATATACGATGCAAGTGTTTTGTTTTGTGTATAGGGGGAAAACAGTTTCAGTAATACACGTATAATGTCCACCCCTGTTATGAAATCACATCTGAACTCTTAGAGCAGATGAAGAAAGTGAGCAAGAGAGTTGACTGAAGTTCAAAAGTTCACTGTGTCGAGGCGATGAAATTCATCTGTGAACAGCTGCCAACGCTGCAGCACTCAGAACTGATGGGGTGTTAATAACACATGACTGTAAAAGCTTCATGTCAGGGTGGAAGAACTGATATGTAATGATTTGGAAGAACAGAAATATGGACTCATGTTTTCCTAGAACTAAGAACATATTTAGATTTTAAATTCTTGAGGTGTTTTTTTTTAAGTATTTTAGGGGATCCACTGATAAAAACAAAAAGTACAACCTAACCATGAAGTGGAATGGAAACTATAAGTGTTACTTAAATGTATTTCCAAATTAAAATCTAAAACTAGGTGCAGTGCTTAACTTTTCAAAAATGTGTTTTTTCCATATTTCTTAAAAGTGTCACCATGTTGTGACAATATAAAACAATCTTTGAAAAAAATCAAGCTCTTCCACCTACTCCTAATGTTACTATTGCCATCTATAATAATGCATTGCTCCCAGTTTAAAAACAACAAAACAATCAGAACAAGGAGGAGGATCTTGGTGCTGTTAATCATCCTCGTGTACAAGCTGGTCAATGTGCTAATGGAAGAGACGGGAAGGTGGAAAGCTTTCCATCCATTCTGACTTTTGACCTCAGGAGATTAACTCTGAGATCACTTTAAAAAGTCAGGAATGTGAGGGGGAAAAAAGAAATCAAAATTCTGAGAAAAAATTTCAGGATTCTGTGATTAGACTCAGAAGTCTGAGAGTTCTACGTGTTACCATGTTTTCTTTAAACTCAGCAACAAACTAACCTTAATCCCTTTCGACCAAGGAATGCAGAAGCACAAACCTGAGTTAAAGTTGCACCTTCTTCTCTTCATGCAGGTACAGCAGAAGAACAAACAACCCCCTCTGATAAAAGCTGGAGGCTGATGGGCCCTCTGTGGAGTCGAAATGACAGAAAGGGAGCAGATCTGGAAACACAAAGAACAGGAGGGAAGGAGAAAGGGATTTTCAGTGATGCAGCTTAATAAGCCAAGGAGGCAGATCAAGGTCTTCGTGAACTCTGCAGCGAACCTGGGAAGAACAATAACACGTTATCTCTCCTCTCAGGGGAGACATAATTGGCTGACTTGGTTACTAATACGTCATGTTCTGTTAACTGCTTCTCTTAAAGCTGTCAAGGTTGTTTTGGTGTTGCTAGTGATGCTCTGTCACAATGTGGAAGCTGGAGCACCCAAACATAGACGCAGGTATTGTAAGAAAAAAAGTTTTATGTGAGTAAAAGTAAAAACGCTGCTTAAGAGGAAAAGAGATCCAACACAGAAAGAAGAAGCGCACCATGGCATAAAGCATAACTGAAAACCTGGGGTTAATGTTTCATTTCATTTATCTACTGATAACATCACATCCAGGTTTAATATATTTTAGTTCCAGGTTGGAGAACGTGGATTAAATCACTGCTATAGACTCTGATTTGTATCAGTATAACCTTACACCCGGTGTGCTTTAAAGTTACCCATCTGAAGGGGCAGTATTAGGTATTCTCCATTCATAGTGCCATTCTATAGCACGATTTAGCTTTGCAATTTAATGCCTTGAAATTGGGCCTCTGTCTCTTTAGGTGAACATGTTGGCCTAACTATGTTGTAATTTCCTATTAACTAAAAAATTGCTGTTTGTGATATGTAAAAACTCATAATTACTTAATTTATATCTCTCGTGATATTTTTCACCCACAAACGTAGACGTTTTCTCACCTGTGCAGTTGTGCTATTTAACCAACTGTGCCCAAATCCGATACATGAAATAATTGTCTGTTCTCTCCTCGTCCTCTCTGTATTTCTCATTTCTCCAGTCTTCTTTTGAATTTTATTAAACCAAAATGTACTTTTATTTACTTCTCTTACTGTGTTTGCCATTCATCTTTAATTTTCTCTTTAATGTTTTACTAAAATTAACAACTGAGTTTCTAACAGCCTCTGTTGCTACCCTATGTACCATTTCTTTCCCTTTAGCACCATAACGAGCTGGTACTCATACAAAGTTAATTATTGAACCCATCATATTCATCCTCTGTAATACTTTTAGAATTTCTCTTAAAAATCTGGCCTGCTTTCTGAATAGTTACATTTTAAACTAACTAATGATAACAGGAACCTGAAATCTGAAAATTACTGATCTCACAGGTCTTATTTCTTCAAAACACTGAATAGCTAATAATTTTGCAAGCGTTCCACCTGTGTATAGTGAAAGTCCATCTTTTATGCTTTTTCTAATTTTAATATTAATCTCTGGAACAATGAAAGCTACTCAAACTCTCTCACGGTGCTTCTGATTAATTTCTCAGTAAAACGACTCACATTAATTTAAGTTTAATTGACCACCACAAAACTAAATAAATAAAAAAAAAAACATGGTGTTGTGTGAGATTCTTCTTAAACAGCCTGAAGTTCACACTATGTGAAATTTACATCGCTCAGTCCTACACAACTATTGTGGAGAATTTGGAAATATTTGCCCTTTATTTGCCAAAGTTAAATGGGGAAAACCAAATAAAAACAAAGCAGTTACATTAGAATTATAAGTCTTTATTGGTTTTCAATGTGATCATTCACAACTTTGTAACACATGTATTACGGCCATACTAAGAAAAAATAAAATTACAAAAATAAAGTCATAATATTACGAGAGTTTACATCTGCCCTACAGTTTTTGTCAATTTCCTTTTTGCAATGAAAGACACAGATTTATAAGAGCACAACAAACTGCTACAACCTTGTCTAGCAGCGTCTCCATCTCTCCCTCACAAGGTTCGATCATCTTGATGGGAAAGCTTGGACTTAATATTTTATATTTGTTGCAAACAGAACCAATAATTCTCCTAACATGGCTTCTAATGTGTGTTAGCCGTCTTGTTTCCTCAGCTGTCTTCTGATCCAGCTCACGGTGGCCGTCTGGTGATGACCTTTTGACCTCAGCACACACCATGTCCGTGTTCATGTTAAAACGCAGAAGTACGTCACGCGGCTGCAGTTTGTCCAGCAGACCACAGCTTTCTGTGATTCCTACACCAATGCCGCCCCCCTCCAGCCTCTGGAGGTGAAGGAAATGACTCCCTGCAGAGTGATGCCAGTGACGTATTTCACCATGTCACTGTGTCCGTCCCCTGACTCCATATTGGACGTTGTCTCCGTGGAAACCTCAAAGCAGTCGACGATCATGGCAAGCTGTCTTCCAAATGTCTCCAGGAACAGCTGAGGCATACTGGCCCACACCCGCTCTCTGTCCAGCCAGTGGACCAGAGAAGACATGCATGCATACAACGCAGCGACCATGTCCTCAAATGCAGGATTAGAGATTTCTTGCTACACGTTAAATAAATAACTTATCCGATCCACTGGAAAATTTAACTTTAAGGTGAGGAGGACCATCTGAAAGTGAGTCAACTTTGTTGCAACCTGTGGGAGGAAAGGTTTGATGCGGCGCAACAAGACCTGAGAAGTGGAATGGCTCTGAAGTCTGGTGTAATATTTTACCTTTTTGTCACCCCTTAAGAACAGTTCTGTAAGATTAAGTTCAGTGAGTTCAGTCTTTAGACTAGTGATTTGCTTCAAAGCACATTGGTCAAGCATGTTTTCCTCTGAATTTTCCTCGACAGGTAGTGAGAGGCCAGTTTCCTCCCGTTTCTCCTTTTCCTCTTGACATTTTTGCAAAACCTCGGCTGTGTGTGGCGTCTCTTGCTGCTCTTTTTCTTGCCTGACCTCCTTCTGGCCCAGCAGCAGAGACGGTTTCCAGTCAGGATGGGTCGTTAGCATTTCATACGCTGGTTTTCCTGGAAAAACATTAACTGAGTCAGTCAAATTCAAAGACCTTAAACTGTAGCAAAATTTAAAGCGTAAAGACTGGAAAACTAAGTACAAGCCAAACCACGTAGAGAAACAAGAAAAAGACTCAAAGCAGTCTTAAATTCTGCTAATATTTATTTAGAATTAAAGTGATTTTAAACTGTAAGAAAAGCATGCATCTACTGTAACTGCTACACTTTGGTATAATACAAAAATATTTTAAATTAACTACCTTTTATGTTCACCGAAAGAAGAGTACAATTACCACACAGGAAATTAGATTAGTCATAAACTGTACTGATGTTAAGTTAAAGAGCTTAGAAGCATTGTTAAAAGTATTTTTTAAATGCAGATGCATTCTTTGTTACACGTGATAGTGTACAAAAGGAATGCTGATGTTGCATTTTAGACAGTAAAATGTCTATTTTCTTATTTTTAAAAAATAATTTAAATTCAAATTAATCAATGGCAGAACAGTAAACAATGTTGCATGAGAAAAAACAGCAGCCAAAGTTTTGTACAAAGGTTTTCTAATTTGTAAATACAATTTAATTTTTAAAAAGTAATTATTTGTTAATTTGCACCATTTAATGTATGTTTAATATTGCATACATAGGCTTAAATAAAGAAAAATCTATTTGCCAGAATAATAAATAACTAAAATAATCCTTAGTTGCAGCTTATTCAAGATCATGAATGTCCTCAAAGGGGTGATTGTAGAAGAATGGAAGAATGTATTGAAAAAAAAAACACTATTATTAAATAATACATATTTTTATATTGACATCATTTGCCCCAATTTGGTCCAAAACTGCTTTGATTTGATTGATAAAATATAAATGAATGACACAGCTGTTATCTTGAAGGTTCTGTCAATGTGTGAGGGCCACCTGAAAAGTTAAGGCGGGCCAGATTTGGCCCCCGCGCCTTGAGTTTTACACACGCGCAGAATAGTATGTTTAAGAACCAGATACGCCAACTA